GTAGGCTACGTAGGCATTATATTATTTTATAATTTTATATTATATTATACGCGTATATAGGAATTGTATATATCACGTTGCGACCGCACTGTTATGGTCCATTGCAGAAAATTCGAACGGTTTTTCGCGAGTTATTATGAAATTGATGTCTATTGCGATAATTACTCCACGTCTATAATAATAGGCACATAATAACATTTTATTGATATTACCGTGTAAGTAGTGAGTAGGTACCTATTTGACTGCGTGTCGTGTGTGTATGTGTGTGTTATACCTCCGCGAACGGCGTTTAAGTTGCTACATTGAGTTATTAGAAAATTACAGACTTTGATTGTGTACAGCGCGAGGCGAATAAACTTGATACAAAGGCCCCAAAACAAATTTCTAGTCGTTAAAAAACGGGTCGGCTGCACCAGTCAAGTAGCATACCCGCGCACCAGCGTAGTTCAGAGATAATATTGTTGTCRTAATAATATTATTGAATTTATCATGTTCTCATTGAAACACTGCAGCTTAAACACGCCGTGCTTATACACACCGCTTACATTATGTTTAATATTATATGTGTATAAAATATAATATACACCGTCTGCAGGTTATGGGCGAATGTATATGATTATTACATACACGAGCGTACGATATGCATGCGCATAATATAGATAATAATATTATATTGTAATTTATAATAATCTTATATAATAAAATGTATTATAAATATTTATAATATCGTTGATGATGAATATTCGTGGAAAATCGGTATGATATAATCCAAGTTAGTCGTTTTGTTGAAAACCTTGGGATCAAATATTCAAATATGTATAGGTACTGTATAGGTACACGCGAGGCGTTTATTGTATTTTTAATGAACTCATCATGAAAAAAAAGTTTAATTTTTTTTTTTCCAAGAATGAGTCCACTTAGAGAATGTGTTTATTCGTAGGTATCAAAAAGTTCAACAGATACCGTCATTGAATAAAAATAAATTAAAACCAATCACGCGAGATTAACGAAAAAAATGTGCATCCTAAATATTAAAAAACATAAATTACAAATAAGTAGATTTCTACTAAATAATTACATAGTATATAAAAGTACCCTTGTATTAAAAGTGTTTGAAATGTATACAATAAAAAAAAAATTTAATGCTCAAGAGGTTCTTACACATGCATTTGTTGTCTCCGTCTTACAAGTGCGTCACAAAACAAATTAACGCTCTTCAGATCAAGTTTAACCTTGTTAGTTTAAAAATTGGAATGAATCGACTTATTATGAAACTTGATGGTAAGAATATTATTTGCGTTTTTACGATACTTTTATTTTTTAGCAAGTTTTGCATATATGATATAGCGTAATTATTTAAAAATGTACATAACTCACTTAAAAACTGAATTGTCGTAGAAAACTCACATACAAACATAAATAATTTTCTAACCGTCTAGTTTGATTATAGGTCATGGTTTCAAATTTGGTATCTATGATATACGCACTTAAAAGACGGAGACAACAATAATGGCTGTGAAGCGTCCTCTTAATTATTTATCCATCTATTTATTTAATATAAGTCGTATATTTAGTTACACGCGGGTGTAGAAACTTGGGGGCGGTTAGAGGGTTAAAACCTCCTATAATATGGAAAGTATATAAATGCATTTATTATTTTTTTTGTAATATTATGATCCCCCCTCCCCATATTAAGTTCCTGTCTTCGACACTGTTTAATTATTAATTATGAGTTACGACGGATATGGTTATTTTCTTTTATTAACAATTCACTCTCTTTTTATTTATTTAACTTCCAATATAACATAATATTAGGAAATACCTTTCATACCYTTTTCAACAAATAGATCATATAGCTTGACTCAAAATTACTTCTACTCGTGTATAATATTAATTTTAATATATTGATTGTTTTATTATTAACAGAAATACAAGTATATCACTTTTAAATTATATTCTTATTAGTTTTAATAAATTAGAMGTACACAAATTAGGCATTTGTTGAATTTAAGCAAATAATATTTTAAGTATTAATATGGTCATCAAAGAATTTGCTTACAACTATGAATT